AGACCAAGAAACAAGATGAAGGTGGTCCACTTGGAAAGGCGTGCAGCGTTTGGAACCGCAAGTGTGCCTGATCGGGACGATCAGACTTAGGTGGAGGGCAGTGTGGCGAATACTGCGGCAACACAAAGCGAACAACGAGAAATAGGCAGAATGTTCGAAGAATGACGTAGAATGTTCCACAAAGAGAAACGTCAAGTTGGATGAACACTGCGAACAGCGAGAGAAAGAGAATGAGCGATAAACTTCAGAATGTTCTAGAGTTGCCATAAGTGCCAGCGCAGGTATATAAGGGCGCCGCCACNCAGTGTGGCGAATACTGCAGAATACAGAATGTTGCAGGAATGACGTAGAATGTTCCACAAAGAGAAACCTCAAGTTGGATGAACACTGCGAACAGCGAGAGAAAGAGAATGAGCGATAAACTTCAGAATGTTCTAGAGTTGCCATAAGTGCCAGCGCAGGTATATAAGGGCGCCGCCACNAATACAGAATGTTGCAGGAATGACGTAGAATGTTCCACAAAGAGAAACCTCAAGTTGGATGAACACTGCGAACAGCGAGAGAAAGAGAATGAGCGATGAACCTCAGAACGTTCGAGAGTTGCCATGAGTACGAGCGCAGGTATATAAGAGCCACGACTCAGCGGAGTTGGACAGTTACAAGTCAGCAAGCTACAAGTAAAGCGAGCAGAGAATTGAGTTGGGAATAGGCAAGCTATAAGCTTAATTGTGTTAACAAGTTTAGTAAAGCGTTGTTATTGCTTTAACAAGTATTGTAAAGTGTTTTTACTGTATTAGCGATTATTGTAAATTGTTTGTTGTACAATAAAGTTAATTGTACTACAATTTGGTCATCGTTAGCATTTATTTAACAATCCAGCGATACGAACCAAGAGATTTGGGAAATCCGGACGAGGTTTCAAGGATAATCGTAACAATATGTATACTTGAAAATAGATAATTGCGTCTCGGTCAAACTGCTTATAGAACTTTTCTTTTGTGCAACTCAAACCGACTGCCGTGCTTATTCATACCAAAACTAATTTCGCGGAACCCCCTTGACTTTTCTACGGAACCCTTGGGGTCCGCGGAACACACTTTCAGAAGCTCTGGTCTAGAATATGAACCATTTAGCTATGCAAAAACCAAAAACGTGGCTGAATAGAACTTCTCACGTTAAATTGAACTGCATCAAAAATAATTGGGGCAAAAATATAAAGAAGATATAAAAGAATAAATTAAAATTGTTTGATCTTTTTAACTCCCCTATCATGAATCCGTACGATACACAATAAACGTTTGCATTATGTTGTGCCGTATTACGAATTTAATTTTAGCGTATGAAATTCGATAGCTACAGTTTATTGTATAGCGTACAATTTTGATATAGCCATACGATAGCTATCGTATCAGCTGTTCAATTTCATAAGCTTGCAAACGGTTGGTTATACGATATGATACAATTTAACAAAATTAAAATAATGTAAGTGTTAAAATGAATAACATGAACTTGTGCAAATGATTGGAACAAAATACTGCATTTTTTCAGACCGAAAATTGCAAGCACAAAACAACAAGGTAGTTATTTGTACAACGATTTTGGATTGTTGTGCCCAAACGCGTGCCTTGAATTTAATACACACATGTAGCCAAAAGATTAAACTTTTTATTTAACACAAAGATTTCAAATTTCCGAGCACTATTTTATTGATGAATTCGGTTTGATGCATGCACATTTTTCTAACACAATAGAAACCGTAGGTAGGGCTAATCCAAATAACGCCTTATTGCCAACACTCTGTTGGTATGATCCCTGAGCAAGAAATCTCAGAGTTGTGAAAGCCTTTAATATATTTAGTATGGACGGCTTTTTTTATGTGGGCGCAAGTCGTTCTCCACTTCTGATAGAACATACATATATAATAGTTTAAGAGCTAGCAACGTTTTCGAGAGAATTTCAGGACAGCTGGTTTTTTGATATGACATCTCTCTCACTCCCTCGGTTAGCGTGGGGGCCATCTGGCAGGCGGTAATGGTTGCGTTGCATATTTAGTGCGCATCGTATCTTTACAGTTAAAAATGCTAATTATACCCGAGCGCACTTGTGCACAAGGGTATATTAATTTTGTTCACATAACGGTTGTTTGTAACAGCCAAAACGAATCGAGATAGATATGGACAAATGTATACATCAATGCTCAGAATTAATAGAGAAATCGATTAAGCCATGTCTGTCTGTCCGTCCGTCCGTCCGTGTACACGATAACTCGAGCAAAAATTGAGATATCTCAACGAACCTACATACCAGGTTTCCGTTAATCCAAGGTAGGTTGGTATTGAAAATGGGCGAAATCGGACTTTAACCACGCCCACTTCCCATATAACGGTAATTTCCAGAAATACGAAAACTGCGATATTTTAGTAACTACTGAAGATAATTCACTCAAAATTGATATTTACAATAATTTTTAGACGAAAAATAAGAATATTATAAATTTTTGGAAAATGGGCGTAGCCACGCCCACTTATGGTTACATGTGTATATCTTGGTAACCGCTGCACCAATTTCTTCCAAACTTGGCACAGTTGTTGGCCTTNTTGGCAACCGCTGCACCAATTTCATCCAAACTTGGCACAGTTGTTGGCCTTGGTACAGTATACCACATGGCCGAAAATTTTTAAAATCGGACCATAACCACGCCCACAGTCCACAGGGTAATTTAGAGAAATACGAAATCTTCGATAAATCAGTAAATATTAAAGCTAATTTAATTCAAAATTGACGCTTGCAACAAGAAATACGTTTATGGTAAAATTTTGGAAAATGGGCGTGGCACCGCCCACTTATGATCACATATAAGTATATCGGTAACCGTTCTACCAATTTGTACCAAACTCGGTATGNGCCGCTTTTCATATAACGGTAAATTTCAAAAATGCTTGAAACTGCAATATTTCGAAATTTAAGGACGTTAATTTACTCAAAATTGATATACCCCGGCTTACCTTCTAGCGGTAGGTTTCAGAAAGGTGAAAAAACATATATTTAATACTTGCGCCGGGTATTTAATGTTCGGCTCAACCCGAACTTAGACTTTCTTGCTTGTTTTTTAAATCATTTTAGTAAGGCTAACTTTCTTTTCATTGGCTTTAACTAGCTTTTAGAAACGTAGATTTATTAGTGCCAGACATGTCCGTTGTTGCTAACATTGTGCCAGACGTCATTATTTATTTAAAAAAAATTAATTTTTCACCTCATTTTAGTAAAGCTCAAAATTTAATATAATGTTGTTTAAGTACTAATGAATCTAAAATTAATTTGCCAGACATTAATTCGGTTGCTAAAGCAAGAACCAGACCGATTTAAAGCTGAAAATTATTACGCTGGTAGTGAGGGAGATAGTAGCAAAATAGTGAACTTTCATAGGATTTTAGTATGAAATCTGGAAACTATAACTACTATAAACTACTTATATAACGTTATAACATAAATCGAATTATTGGAATATCAAAAATTATATTTTTTTTTCGAATACATATGTTAAGGCAAATAAAAACTTAAAACATTTCATAAATATCAACTTGTATAGTGTCGGAATAAAGCAAGAAAAGCAAGAGAAAAACACAAACATTTTGATATTTAAATTGTGTCTAAAAAACACTGACTTACAACAAAAATGCGCATTGGACGCCTCTATCCAATTCCTATGCAGAATTGCTTGCTGATTCCGTAAATCGAGTATTTTTTCCATAAATAAGTTTTCGATATATTTGCAATTTACCGTTATTTAGCTTAAAAAAGTGGTTCCACTTAATCACGTATGTATATCTTATACCGAAATGTAGCAAATGAAAGGTAGAAAAACTCCCCATAGACAGTATATATGTACATCATGATGAAATAAAAACAAGGTTACAGAAGCTGTTTTTGTACTATTTGTTGACCCTCATACTCCGGTCATGTATTTGAGGTTAGTAGAAAAGGGAATCTTTTGGTACCCCTTACTACTTTTTTAGTACTTTATTAAAATCGTAGAACTGGAGTGACAATAAATCAGCAATTAATTATTATTTAATTAATGAAACATAGACAATAATTATTAGACATTAGGGCGGCATGCGATAATTTTTATTGTCGATAATCCGAAAAAAAAGAAAATCTTGTATATTATTTTTAAAATATTTATTTTTAATTTGGTAAAGAACTAAAAAACTTTTGGAATCAAACACGTTTTTGAATTGTTGATCCCTACTTATCCATTTTATATTCCCTCTTATCGGCTAGGAAATAATGCTTCAGGCGAGAATTGAAAGCTGAAAGAGAACTTGGTGAACAAGAGAAAAATACCATTCATCGCTAGATATTTTCAAGTTATTTGAATGTTTTATGTGCATATATCTTAGTTTTAGATGTTTATTAATACACATGTTTTTCGAATTTATAATGCAAGAAATCAAACGATTCTTTCTACGTGACAAATACAATTTTTGTTTGTTTTGTGTATTTATATACAGTATCGGTTAATAATATATACTGTATGTATGTTTCATTCTGTATTCTACAAAATCTCAGAAAGTGTACATGTTTACATTTTAACAAAAGTTCTACTTTATGTAAAATCTTACCACGAAAGAAGTTTACAGCACAGAAGTTGACATCACGTTACAATAGGGTGGAACAATGAAGCAAGAGCAACAAACAGGGTCGTTGAATCACCTAACAATAAGGTGGCACAATACAGCAGAAACAGCACAATGTAGAGCTGGTTGAACAAAGTCAAAGTTGTATTGAAATGTATGAATTTTGTTCACAACATACATATGTACTTACAAATCGCAATGTTAAGTCACACACCAATACGGTGGTATAATGCAGCAAGAGCAAAAAACTTGATTGTTGACTCACCTAGCAATAAGGTAGCACAATGCAGTAGGCACAGCCCTCCAACTTGCTGTTGGGATGTTGAATCACCAGGCACTATGGTGCTATGTTGCACCAGGAACTGCACAGTGTAGAGCTGGTTGAGGACAAACACAACATTTAATAGAAAATGTATAAATGGTATGCACGT